AACCCTAACACAATGATTTAACCCTTAATATCTCTTGAGTTTTTTTATATTTTTAAAATCCCTTGTAAGGGATTTATTATATTTTCGCGTGATAAGCATTTTTACGTATGTTTCAAATATTTATATAAAAAACACTTTAATATATACTTTATGAACTTATAAAAATAATTTTAAAATAATCTTATTATATTCTATATATTTAATACTAATACTAACCCTAAATCTAACACTAACCATACCATAACTTTAACTCTTTAACCCTAACCCTAACCCAATGATTTAACCATTAATATCCCTTGATTTTTTTATATTTTTAAAATCCCTTGAAAGGATTTTATTATATTTTCACGTGATTAGCATTTTTACGTATGTTTCACATATATATATAAAAAACACTTTAATATATACTTTATGAACTTAAAAAAATAATTTTAAAATATTCTTATTATATTCTATATATTTAATACTAATACTAACCCTAAATCTAACACTAACCCTAACCCTAACCCTAACACTAACCATAATCATAACTTTAACTCTTTAACCCTAACCCTAACCCAATGATTTAACCATTAATATCTCTTGATTTTTTTATATTTTTAAAATCCCTTGAAAGGATTTTATTATATTTTCACGTGATAAGCATTTTTACTAATGTTTCAAATATATATATAAAAAACACTTTAATATATACTTTATGAACTTAAAAAAATAACTTTAAAATAATCTTATTATATTCTATATATTTAATACTAATACTAACCCTAAATCTAACAATAACCCTAACCCTAACCATAACCTTAACTCTTTAACCCTAACCCTAACCCAATGATTTAACCATTAATATCCCTTGATTTTTTTATATTTTTAAAATCCCTTGAAAGGATTTTATTATATTTTCACGTGATAAGCATTTTTACGTATGTTTCACATATATATATAAAAAACACTTTAATATATACTTTATGAACTTAAAAAAATAATTTTAAAATATTCTTATAATATTCTAAATATTTAATACTAATACTAACCCTAAATCTAACACTAACCATAACCATAACTTTAACTATTTAACCCTAACCCTAACCCAATGATTTAACCATTAATATCCCTTGATTTTTTTATATTTTTAAAATCCCTTGATAGGATTTTATAATATTTTCACGTGATTAGCATTTTTACGTATGTTTCACATATATATATAAAAAACTCTTTAATATATACTTTATGAACTTAAAGAAATAATTTTAAAATATTCTTATTATATTCTATATATTTAATACTATTACTAACCCTAAATCTAACACTAACCCTAACCCTAACCTTAACTCTCTAACCCTAACCCTAACATAATGATTTAACCCTTAATATCTCTTGAGTTTTTTTATATTTTTAAAATCCCTTGTAAGGGATTTATTATATTTTCACGTGATAAGCATTTTTACTAATGTTTCACATATATATATAAAAAACACTTTAATATATACTTTATGAACTTAAAAAAATAATTTTAAAATATTCTTATTATATTCTATATATTTAATACTAATACTAACCCTAAATCTAACACTAACCCTAACCCTAACCCTAACACTAACCCTAACCCTAACATTAACTCTCTAACCCTAACCCTAACATAATGATTTAACCCTTAATATCTCTTGAGTTTTTTTATATTTTTAAAATCCCTTGTAAGGGATTTATTATATTTTCACGTGATAAGCATTTTTACGTATGTTTTACATATATATATAAAAAACACTTTTATATATACATTATGAACTTAAAAAAATATTTTTAAAATATTCTTATTATATTCTATATATTTAATACTAATACTAACCCTAAATCTAACACTAACCCTAACCCTAACACTAACCCTAACCCTAACCTTAACTCTCTAACCCTATCCCTTACCCAATGATTTAACCATTAATATCCCTTGAGTTTTTTTATATTTTTAAAATCCCTTGAAAGGATTTTATTATATTTTCACGTGATAAGCATTTTTACGTATGTTTCACATATATATATAAAAAACTCTTTAATATATACTTTATGAACTTAAAGAAATAATTTTAAAATATTCTTATTATATTCTATATATTTAATACTAATACTAACCCTAAATCTAACACTAACCCTAACCCTAACCCTAACACTAACCATAATCATAACTTTAACTCTTTAACCCTAACCCTAACCCAATGATTTAACCATTAATATCTCTTGATTTTTTTATATTTTTAAAATCCCTTGAAAGGATTTTATTATATTTTCACGTGATAAGCATTTTTACTAATGTTTCACATATATATATAAAAAACACTTTAATATATACTTTATGAACTTAAAAAAATAATTTTAAAATATTCTTATTATATTCTATATATTTAATACTAATACTAACCCTAAATCTAACACTAACCCTAACCCTAACCCTAACACTAACCCTAACCCTAACATTAACTCTCTAACCCTAACCCTAACATAATGATTTAACCCTTAATATCTCTTGAGTTTTTTTATATTTTTAAAATCCCTTGTAAGGGATTTATTATATTTTCACGTGATAAGCATTTTTACGTATGTTTTACATATATATATAAAAAACACTTTTATATATACATTATGAACTTAAAAAAATATTTTTAAAATATTCTTATTATATTCTATATATTTAATACTAATACTAACCCTAAATCTAACACTAACCCTAACCCTAACCCTAACACTAACCCTAACCCTAACCTTAACTCTCTAACCTTAACCCTTACCCAATGATTTAACCATTAATATCCCTTGAGTTTTTTTATATTTTTAAAATCCCTTGAAAGGATTTTATTATATTTTCACGTGATAAGCATTTTTACGTATGTTTCACATATATATATAAAAAACTCTTTAATATATACTTTATGAACTTAAAGAAATAATTTTAAAATATTCTTATTATATTCTATATATTTAATACTATTACTAACCCTAAATCTAACACTAACCCTAACCCTAACCTTAACTCTCTAACCCTAACCCTAACACAATGATTTAACCCTTAATATCTCTTGAGTTTTTTTATATTTTTAAAATCCCTTGTAAGGGATTTATTATATTTTCGCGTGATAAGCATTTTTACGTATGTTTCAAATATTTATATAAAAAACACTTTAATATATACTTTATGAACTTATAAAAATAATTTTAAAATAATCTTATTATATTCTATATATTTAATACTAATACTAACCCTAAATCTAACACTAACCATACCATAACTTTAACTCTTTAACCCTAACCCTAACCCAATGATTTAACCATTAATATCCCTTGATTTTTTTATATTTTTAAAATCCCTTGAAAGGATTTTATTATATTTTCACGTGATTAGCATTTTTACGTATGTTTCACATATATATATAAAAAACACTTTATATACTTTATGAACTTAAAAAAATAATTTTAAAATATTCTTATTATATTCTATATATTTAATACTAATACTAACCCTAAATCTAACACTAACCCTAACCCTAACCCTAACACTAACCATAATCATAACTTTAACTCTTTAACCCTAACCCTAACCCAATGATTTAACCATTAATATCTCTTGATTTTTTTATATTTTTAAAATCACTTGAAAGGATTTTATTATATTTTCACGTGATTAGCATTTTTACGTATGTTTCACATATATATAAAAAACACTTTAATATATACTTTATGAACTTAAAAAAATAATTTTAAAATATTCTTATTATATTCTATATATTTAATACTAATACTAACCCTAAATCTAACACTAACCCTAACCCTAACCCTAACACTAACCATAATCATAACTTTAACTCTTTAACCCTAACCCTAACCCAATGATTTAACCATTAATATCTCTTGATTTTTTTATATTTTTAAAATCCCTTGAAAGGATTTTATTATATTTTCACGTGATAAGCATTTTTACTAATGTTTCACATATATATATAAAAAACACTTTAATATATACTTTATGAACTTAAAAAAATAATTTTAAAATATTCTTATTATATTCTATATATTTAATACTAATACTAACCCTAAATCTAACACTAACCCTAACCCTAACCCTAACACTAACCCTAACCCTAACATTAACTCTCTAACCCTAACCCTAACA